TAATAGTAATAGTAGTAGATGGTTTTTGTTTTGATCGAAAACGTTTGCCGTACAGCCCGGTTAGTTTGGGGCTATTTGAAAATCCGACGAATAAGCTATCCACGACAAGACTTCTACGCTTTATTCCCCCTGCACTACTCAATGTTGTGTAGGCTGAAGCTTGTAGCCGACGCCTAACATTGCTCAGTCCGGCGTCCTTGTTCAAGGCCAGCTGCCCCAAGGTTATCCACTATCGCAGTGAGCGCTTCCAGACACGCTGAACTGCAGGCACTTCACCGACTTCCACACACGTGCGGTCGGGTATTCCAACTGCCCATATGCCACTTGAACATGTTTCTTTCCCCCATCCTCGGCCGACACAGCCTACGCCACCAGAGACGACACCCCTCCGGTAATATCACACGCACCAATTAGAGAACACTTGAACCTGCTTCGCCACCCTACTTAAGCCACTACCACCACTGTCTCGCTCTCTCTCAGGCCTGGCTGGACACAGTCAACACTAGCCCTCGCGTTGCCAATGGCCACTGTCGTCCTAAACAGCAACTGGGAATTCTGTATAAAATAAATCCTCCTTGCCTTTTACCATCAACGTGAGATTCGACCTGATGATTTTAGTGCTCTAAGGGCAACAACTACTTAGATGCTACAAGTTCGTTGTTTGCATGCGGCCAGAACCCGGGCGGCCAAACGCACCTTGGCAAGCTGTTTATTTACTTTTAAGTGTCGCTGGTCGGCACAGAAAAGGGAGCCAGAATGCAACTGCTTCGTCTCAAAAACAAAAACAGCGAACTACCTGGAAAGCATCAGTTATGAACAGAAATTCCTGTGAATTGGTAGATTCGGACTTCCACTCGTGAAAAATTTCCTCACAAACCGCCTTTGAGATATTATCAAGCTCAAGATTGCGTTCCAGCACAGCATCCACAAACTTTTTGAGTGTGGTCGCCTTGACGCTGGGCTCCAAGTTCTTCAGGGCGTCAACAACAAAGTTGGACGCATCCGGGGCGAGGAGAAGCCCGTTCAACTTCAGCGCCCGTTTTATATCCTAGA